AGGAAAACAATATGGAAGAGTTTAGCCTAGCTTTTTCGCAGCCCAATGTAATAGAGTGTTGAATTCTCTCGAAAATGGAGTAAAGCAGGGTACACTGAAGGATAAAAACCTTTTAAAGATCCCACTAAGCCCTCTGATGTCAAGCCAACTCCTTAATAAGTTGAAGCTAAATATTACCCAGCTCCTTTTGTATACTCTTCCCTCAACTATCAAACCAAAATGCTTCAACTCACTGAAATCTTCCTTGGTATCAATGGAGTTATTTTTCAGAAGTCATCTGAGTAGCCACAATCAACTCCGAAGGAAAGTAAAGTCACTCAAGTATTAGAAAATGCCACTTTACTTGTTGGAAAGCAATAGATATCCTAATCCAAGCTATATCTGACCAAAGATACCTTATCTTGCTAGTTTGAAAATAAATGTAGAGAAGTTGGTTTCAGATAATACTGCTAAACTAATCAAAACTTATCTAAGAGCCAATTACCAAACTACAAGAAATACCTACCTAGCAAGTCATACACTATCTACAGAAGTGTGTTAAAAAGACTGATTCCCAGGGTTTAGTCTCATTCCAGATTGTATCAAATTAATGCCTTTCACGTAGAACTCAATCAGCTCAAGCCCTACTCCCTCCTGAAAGATAACTGTACTGGTTATTAAACTTGTGGAAGAATCTAAGAAGGTATATTTCTGCAAGCCTTCGCTAGTAAAATATCCTCCCACTTCTGCAATTCCTATTACAAACTTGGAAAAAAACATGAGTCTTGTAAAAATCAGTGCAGAACGCAAAAGCGGAGTCAGACTAGTGGTGCATCAAGCCGAGTACTGTCCTCTCAATGGTGAGAAAGGAAGTTTCAGCCTTTAGGACTTTCTAGAGAGACACCACAGGAGCACCCTGGCCTATTCTCTTTTCCAACTCAAAATTAGTCCATTTCAAGCAGGCAACTAACATCAAAAAGCTAGCAGCAAGGCTGATGCTGTTGTGGTAACTGACAAGCAACTACAACACACTTGGAGCAGTAGACAACTCAGAATTGTTTAGGTTGGAAAATACCAAGTATATCAAGTATAAGCATTAATCTAACACTGCCAAGTCCCCACACCATGTCCCCAAGCACTGCATCTACACGCCTTCTAAATACCTCCAGGGATGGTGACTCCACCACCTCCCTGGGCAGCCTGTTGCAATGCTTGACAACCCTTCCAGAGAAGAAATTTTTCCTAATGTCCAATCTAAACCTCCCCTGGTACAACTTGAGGCCATTTCCTCCTGTCCTATTGCTTGTTACTTGGGAGAAGAGACCAACACCCACCTTGCTACATCCTCCTTCCAAGCAGTTATAGAGTACAATAAGGCCTCCCCTCAGCCTCCTCTTCTCCAGACTAAACAACCACAGTTCCCTCAGCTGCTCCTCCTAAAACTTGCTCTCCAGACCCCTCATCAGCTTCATTGTCCTTCTCTGGACATGCTCCAGTAGCTCCATGTCTTTCTTGTAGTGAGTGGCCCAAAACTGAACACAGTATTTGAGGTGCAGCTTCACCAGTGCCACGATCACTTCCCTACTCCCGTTGGCCACACTAGTTCTGATACAGGCCAGGACACTGTTGGCCTTCTTGGCCACCTGGGCACACTGCTGGCTCATGTTCAGCCAGCTGTCAACCAGCACCCCCAGGTCCCTTTCTGCCAGGCAGCTTTCCAGACACTCTT